AGACCACCTGAGGGTAAAAGAAAGAAACAAATTTAAAGGGATCCATCCGCAACAATAAAACTAGAGGCATAGCAAGCTCAAAACGACAATACTACAGGAGGTCTACCGGCAATTAACCCTTGCAAATATAACTTGAGTAGTAATTGGCTACACCACTATAGTGCAGAAGAGCATCTACAATTAGGCTTAAATTCTGTGCTGAATTATCTTTACCTCAGTTATCAATCTCATCTGATGCATATGATCTCTACCAGGAAAGAGAGGTTGCTTATTCATCAACTCCATAAAAATGCAACCAACAGACCAAACATCAATAGCTGCAGTATAATCAGTCGAGTTGAGTAACAACTCCGGTGCTCTGTACCATCTCGTAACTACATATTCAGTCATAATATCGTTCTCTGATGTTGGTCGTGCTAGGCCAAAATCGCATATTTTGAGATCACAATTAGCATTCAGTAGTAAATTGCTTGGTTTCAGATCTCTATGAATCACATTTGCAGAGTGTATGTATTTCAACCCGCGAAGTATCTGATACAAAAAGTACTGCAACATTGACAGGTAATTAATTTTCATTAGAATTAAGGCTTTGTGATCAGATTGTTATTGAATTTAAGACGAGAGCTAAGAAAAGAGGAATACTTGACAGTGTTCTTCGGATAAATCCTGATTGGATCGGATGATGTTGTGAAGATCAGTGTCCATGAGCTCAGTTGCAATGTAGACGTCGTTGAATGATTCTGGAATTGGAGGGGGAGTCACATCTCTTATTCCTACCACCTGCTCAATGTGTAAACGAGCTCAAATAATCATTCAGTATATTCAATTGTAACGTTCTCGGTATTTGATCATTTTGATGAACATATGTGTGACTGACAAATCTAGTTTCTGATATGAATCTACATTGAACAATTATTTAACTGAAATGGTGAAATTGCAACGATTTCTAATATAATTGAAGCTTGACAAGTGTCAAGCTTAGTTACATAGCACTGGATTGTTAATCAAAAAAGTCTAACATTGGATTTAGATCTTTTTCCTTACTCCTTTAGTAGCATAAGGACCCCTTCCTAAGTTTAGGCAATTTTGATTCATTTTCAGAAGAAGCACTATTATCCCAGTCATTTTTTCTCACTCAAATAAGACAACTATCCATAAATGAAGTATAAAATCATAACTCTCAACCCTCACCATGAACTATTAGAACAATCCAAGTTGCTCCATTGAACTTGGTAGTGATGTAGATTGATCCTGTCCCTCACCATGAACTATTAGAACAACCCTACATCTACATTAGAGTTGGTGAAAAATGGTTGAGACTCTATTTTCGAGTAATGATGTAGGGGTCAGGTCAGACTACATCACTACCAAGTTCAATGGAGCAACTTAGGTATCAACCGGCTTATCGCATTCTTGGCCTGGTAAACAATATATATATATATATATATTTATATATATATATATATATATATATATATATATATATAGATATATATATATATATAATATATATATATATAGAGCAAAACTTCTGTCAACTTAAGTGGACGTCCACTAAGTTTCTTATCCATTGATTGATCACTTGATTGAGCTACATTGTGCCGGATGATCCGTTCCGTTAAACTTAATCTACATATTCTAAAACCTCAACACACCAAATTTCGGGCGTGAACCCGCGTAGTTTGACCCTTCATCCACTCGCTATCAATTTTAACGGTTTCGAGTGAATAGAACTTTTTACATGCGCTCGACGGAGGCGTCAAACCACAACGAGTTCACACCAAAATTTGGTGTGTTGCGCCGGTTTTAGAATATGTTAGATTCAAGTTTAACGGAGCGGATCATCCACAATGCTAGGCTCAATCAAGTAATCATCAATGGATTAAGAAACTTAGTGGACGTCCACTTAAGTGCACAGAAGTTTTGCCTCAGTATGATATATTATATATAATATACTATATATATATATATATACTATATATATATATAATACCATATATATTATGCCATTCGAGACCAGCATTTTCGCATTTCTTGCTCCGTGTTGCGGTAAACAAATTATCCACAGCCAAAATAATCACGAAAGTCAACGGTACTGAAAAACTTTGGCCCAAAACTTAAAAAAAAAGAAAAAGAAAAAAAAGCTTACATTCTCATGGTCCAAATGCCTCAGCAACTTGATCTCCCTCAACGTCCTCTTTGCATCCATATGATTATTGAATGCATTCGCTATCTTTTTAATCGCCACCATCTCCCTCGTCTCCGAATTCATCACCGAACTAAACCCCCAAAAAAAATAAACTCAGTAAAACTTTGGAGGCAACAAACCATATCCAAAAACAATAAAAAAAAATCATCAAAAAAATTACCAGACGATCCCATAAGCTCCTCGGCCAATCGGCATGATCGGAGGCTGATACTTCGCCGTGATCTCGAACAAATTCCCAAAAATATTGTACTGAAGAAAACGGCCGTTGTGAGTCAACGCCACGGGGAAATCGGGAGCCGTTCCGTCCATCTGAGGAGATTCCTTGATCGTGAAGCAGCAGGAGATTCTTTTGAGCGTCGAGAGGAGGAAGAAGAGGAAATTTTCAATTTTTCTAGCAATTTTGTGGATATTTTTTGTTTTTCCCCACCTTTTTTGAGCTTAATGGAGATTTTTAATGGAGCTTAGAGCTGTGCTGTTTCGGAGAAAGGGAGTTAGGAGCCCGCCATCGTTTAACGGGGGATCGGACGGTCGAGATTGAAGACGACTTGGATCGGATGGATGACATCTGTCTGCCCTTTGACTTCATCGGTCGTTGTTTTGGGGTGGGGGAGTGGGGGTGGTGGTAAGAGAAACTGGGTGGGCCCCCGATGATGGGGGACTGTGGGGCCTACATTTTGTTAGAAGTCTATGCATAAGTTTGATTAAACAAGGAAATATGGAATTTTAATTGGTTCACATGTCGTTCGGGACTTTCTAGTGAATTGTAACTAAAGTGCGCCTTTATCGCCTTATTAAAAGAAGTTTTTTTTTGTTATATTAGTCCTCTACACCTTTAGTATTTGGAAATTGCTCCATCAGATTATTGAAATTTGTACTAGGTTCTTCACTTCATCAATTCTTATAAATGTCTTGGTACCGCTGTTCTTAACAGAAGAATTTTAATTTGAAACAAATTATGAGAATAGGGTGACTCGTTAACAATTCTAGTGATTTGAGGGACTACTCCTAAAACAACTTATTAAGAAAATTGGGTACTTAATAGCAATTCTAACAATGTACGTGAGGGACTACTTCAAAATATTAATATTCAGGGGCCTAATATCGGGAAAATCCAAGAAAAAAAGTAGTAGTCGTACCGTGATACGCGTTTTCAAAAAGAAAGAAAATTTTGATTTGTTATTTATCGGAGTATAAACTATGGAGTCCTTGTGAGCTAAAGTCTACTTCTGTTTTGAGGTCAATTATAGAACAATAAAGTCTATGCTACTAGATTTCATGATATTATGCTCAAAGTTGAAGTAGATTTTCGGAGCTTTTGTTTATTCATGATGCATTTCTCTTTCTCATGATTCAATATTTTTTAAGCATTACTATACTAGTTGCAATTTATTTAAAAAAATTAAGCGAAACGTATTCCCCATAGTACTTTTTTTTTAACTTTCCTTTAAAGAATATATATGTTATCAGTCTATTTTTCGAGCTTTTTAAACATATATACATGAAAATACATACAATAAATTACCGAAAACACTCCTAAACTAATTTAGGATCTTGCTATTTATTCATGTTGGAATTGTGTCTTTGATTCTTTGTAGAACTTCATGAGAATTAGATAGGGTTAGAGATCTATCATGATTAGGAGTTTGGGTTTGCTTATGATTAGGAGTTTGAATTCTATTCTAATTAGAAAGTTAGGCTAAAGATAGAGTTTTGGTTTCCCTATATATATTATTCTATTGTTGGAGGAAAAACTAAGAAGAAGAGAGTAGAGAGAAGATGTAGTAGAGAGAGAGAGAGAGACACACACACACAAAGAGAGAGAGAGAGAGAGAGAGAGAGAGAGAGAGAGAGAGAGAGAGAGAGAGAGTCAATATTCTTGTAATGTAGGGTTAGCAGAGGACGTAGCCTGATTCAAGAATATTATGTGAGAGGCGAGGGTTTCATGATCTTTATCCGTGTAAAAGATTACAAGGAGTGGGCTTTGGAGAGAATATGAGAGTTGATTATGTATGTGAGGTTGAGAGATTGAGAGACGAGAGTTGAGTGGTTCCTCTTATAGTTCTCCCTGATACATAGTGAATTTCTCGTATTGTTGCCCCGTGGACATAGGTCGAAGTTGGTCGACCGAACTACGTAAATCTCGGTGTTCTTTTTTCTTGATTGTTGTCGTTTTATATCTTGCTGATCATGGGTTAGCTTCGGAGTTGCGCATATTGTACGTAGTAGGAGGGGAGAGTGAAATTTTCCAACAAGTGGTATCAGAGCGATGGTGATGGATCCGAGAGTGAATTCGCAAGATAGAAAACGACGTCGTGCAAGATTGAAGATTGGTGTTACAAGAATTAAGATAAAAAGAAAAAAATTACTATAGCATCGACATACTGTAAGTGCCGTAGGATACTGTAGCGGAGACACTGTAGCGGCACGGGAGACTGTTCGCATAGATGCATCGGTTGAGATTGATTTTTCTTTTGATCGAGGATTTAGAGGCGGATTTTGGTGATCCAGGAATCGTTCCTAGAGGATGATGACTTCTTCGGGTCCGAAGTTTGATATTCTGCTATTTAACGACAAGACAAATCTGATGGTAGATAAGAAGCAGGAGTTGATTGGTGTGCAGACTCGAGGAGGACAGTGTCATATTAGGTGGAGCTTGCAAGCGGGCACAACCGAGTGATGCACAGGGAGATGGAGATTGCGACATTGGACTTGAAGACGATGAGCGCTCATATTCAGTCCAAGGTAAGTGATGGAGGAGATAGAGGCATCTGGCTCGTAGTGTGGAGTAGAAGAGGTGCACCGATATGATTCGAGACGAGTGATGCAGGTGGAACACAAGGACAACAAGTTGGGATGGCTATTGTCAGGCTCAAGTTGGGAGGATAAGCATGATTGTTTTGCTTTTATTGTCAGAGGTGATGAAGATCTCTTAGTGCACACAAGAGAGGTGGAGGCGCCACAGTGAAGCAGATGATAGTGAGGGTCACGAGACAACTAGTTGGAGTGTATGTGTTCTGATTAGGAGTGTGGCTGTTTCGATTTGAAGTGCGAAAGAAATAGAAGACTCTAGCGGGAGAGACAAAGTTTCAAGACAACGATGATATATCTTCAATAGAGCTTGGGAATCAAATCCAAGATGGAAATTGTTGGGATTGTGTCTTTGATTCTTTGTAGAACTTCATGAGAATTAGATAGGGTTAAAGATCTATCATGATTAGGAGTTTGAGTTCGATCATGATTAGGAGTTTGAATTCTATTCTAATTAGGAAGTTAGGGTAGAGATAGGATTTTTGTTTCCCTATATATATATTCTTCTATTGTTGGAGAAAAAACTAAGAAGAAGAGAGTAGAGAGAAGATGTAGCAGAGAGAGAGAGAGAGAGAGAGAGAGAGAGAGAGAGAGAGAGAGAGTCAATATTCTTGTAATGTAGGGTTAGCAGAGGACGTAGCCTGATTCAAGAATATTGTGTGAGAGGCGAGCGTTTCATGATCTTTATCCGTGTAAAAGATTACAAGGAGTGGGCTTTGGAGAGAATATGAGAGTTGATTATGTATGTGAGGTTGAGAGATTGAGAGACGAGAGTTGAGTGGTTCCTCTTGTAGTTCTCCCTGATACATAGTGAATTTCTCGTATTGTTGCCCCGTGGACATATGTCGAAGTTGGTCGACCGAACTACCTAAATCTCGGTGTTCTTTTTTCTTGATTGTTGTCGTTTTATATCTTGCTGATCGTGGGTTAGCTTCGAAGTTGCGCATATTGTACGTAGTAGGCGGGGAGAGTGAAATTTTCCAACAAGTGGTATCAGAGCGATGGTGATGGATCCGAGAGTGAATTTGCAAGATAGAAAACGACGTCGTGCAAGATTAAAGATCGGTGTTACAAGAATTAAGATAAAAAGAAAAAATTACTACAGCAGCGACATACTGTAAGTGCCGTAGGATACTGTAGCGGAGACACTGTAGCGGCACGGGAGACTGTTCGCATAGATCCATCGGTTGAGATTGATTTTTTTTATTGAGGATTTAGAGGCGGATTTTGGTGATCCAGGAATCGTTCCTAGAGGATGATGACTTCTTCGGGTCCGAAGTTTGATATTCTGCTATTTAACGACAAGACAAATCTGATGGTAGATAAGAAGCAGGAGTTGATTGGTGTGCAGACTCGAGGAGGACAGTGTCATATTAGGTGGAGCTTGCAAGCGGGCACAACCGAGTGATGCACAGGGAGATGGAGATTGCGACATTGGACTTGAAGACGATGAGCGCTCATATTCAGTCCAAGGTAAGTGATGGAGGAGATAGAGGCATCTGGCTCGTAGTGTGGAGTAGAAGAGGTGCACCGATATGATTCGAGACGAGTGATGCAGGTGGAACACAAGGACAACAAGTAGGGATGGCTATTGTCAGGCTCAAGTTGGGAGGATAAGCATGATTGTTTTGCTTTTATTGTCAGAGGTGATGAAGATCTCTTAGTGCACACAAGAGAGGTGGAGGCGCCACAGTGAAGCAGATGATAGTGAGGGTCACGAGACAACTAGTTGGAGTGCATGTGTTCTGATTAGGAGTGTGGCTGTTTCGATTTGAAGTGCGAAAGAAATAGAAGACTCTAGCGGGAGAGACAAAGTTTCAAGACAACGATGATATATCTTCAATGGACCTTGGGAATCAAATCCAAGATGGAAATTGTTGGGATTGTGTATTTGATTCTTTGTAGAACTTCATGAGAATTAGATAGGGTTAAAGATCTATCATGATTAGGAGTTTGAGTTCGATCACGATTAGGAGTTTGAATTCTATTCTAATTAGGAAGTTAGGCTAGAGATAGGATTTTTGTTTCCCTATATATATATTCTTCTATTGTTGGAGAAAAAACTAAGAAGAAGAGAGTAGAGAGAAGATGTAGCAGAGAGAGAGAGAGAGAGAGAGAGAGAGAGAGAGAGAGAGAGAATATTCTTGTAATTTAGGGTTAGCAAAGGACATAGTCTGATTCAAGAATATTGTGCGAGATGCGAGGGTTTCGTGATCTTTATCCGTGCAAAAGATTACAAGGAGTGAGCTTTGGAGAGAATATGAGAGTTGATTATGTATGTGAGGTTGAGAGATTGAGAGATGAGAGTTGAGTGGTTCCTCTTATAGTTCTTCCTGATACATAGTGAATTTCTCGTATTGTTGCCCCGTGGATATAGGTCGACCTAATGTAAATCTCAGTGTTCTTTTTTCTTGATTGTGGTTGTTTTATATCTTGTTGATTGTGGGTTGGCTTCGGAGTTGCGCATATTGTAGTAGGCGGAGAGAGTGAAATTACCCAACAATTCAAACGATCGATTACATCATATATATGCTCTAAAAACCAAAAAAATAAACAATAGGATATACAAAATACATGTTGAATAACAGTCTTACGTAACTCATTTGACAGCTCTGATCAAAATATTTTAATGTTTTATAAATATTGGTTGGATGATGAGATCTAGAACTGAAGTTAATGGGCAATTAATTTTTTTTGTGGAGGAGACCGTTCATAAGTTGACCTGTTTTTTTCATTCGATACA